TCTGGGCGTGAGAATAACCATTCATTGCCTTGGATTCATCAAACTCTGAAGAGATACTTAAAATACCGGAAGTTACATATAAAATATGGTTCCGGATTTGGGAGGATTTCTCACATTAGTTTCAATTGTTTGGCAAGGAGACCCCATAGCAAGAGTTATTCTCAAAACTCGAGTTCTAACAAAATCGAAGGATCTCATAACCTTTTAAAGAAGATATCTATTTGGGGTCTTGTCAATCGTCCAATAGTAATTTTACATAATTTGGGTGCGCAACTCTGGCCGCACATATATATGTATAAGTATAATTCCGGCATTGGATTTTACCATATGGAGTGTACGTTTTAAGATATGGAGGGTCGCACCTATTTTGCAATGTCCGAGTGTAAATGTACACTCTGAACTCTCGATTCGATTGTGTAAGAGCTTTGCGCCTTCTTTTCTTGCAAGATAAACATCAGAAAGACATGGAAACTTAAATCTTTGTTTAGAAATTTTGATTTTCATTTAGATATTAGTCCTAAGGAATCTCCTCACATTTGTTGGAGACCACAGAAAAATAAGACCGATATAATTAGAGAAGAACTATTTTAAGTTCAAATGGTCGGGCATGCTCGACTTTCAAACTGTCAATTGATTTTAATTTATTAATCTCTTTAACTCACCTAAATGCATCGCTTAACAATTCATCCAATCTCGAAATCGATTCCTCTAAAATAATTTTCGAATTTTTACGATACATTTTCAAATTATTAAGAAAGCTGCGAGATGAATCCAAATGGGCATAATTGATGTACATTCCAAAATCATCGGCTCTACTTTCCCACGATGTAATACACATATTGTAAAGGGAAGATTTCTCAGTTGTACTGTTAAAATTTAAAATATCAAAAACGGGACGATCCATGAGCAGGGCATAGAGCAAAACATGTGGTACCGTAGTATTGGGAGCTTGAGGATTAGAGCATTCATTCATACTGGTTAAGGTGGGTCTAAGTTTGGCCTCGAACATAAAAGCATCATCGGTATACTTTTGACGTAGCAAATGCCAAGCTGAAGTGAGTTTTTGAATCTTGCGGGAAAAATAAATTTAGTTATAATTTAACGCTATATGCAAAAAGATTTTAAGACTTACTTGAGGCATACACAAACCCAACATTATGGTGGAAAATCCAAATAGATTTCCCAAAGCAGTCTTCGTCTCTACCGCTACTTGTATCCATTTACTTAATATTTCGGCACGATCTAAATCTGTTTGACAGGTGAGTATTGTTACGGCCACCATTAATTTTAAGCATTGCGTACGCTCTACTATATCTTTGCGAAATATTTTACCCTGTGGCAGAGTCAACATTTCCAGACCGGAGTAATCAAAAATATTATTACAATTATTGCTTTCTGACTCGGGTTCCGAATTGGGTTCTTCTATTAGCAGGCCAATATCTATGCGTGTTATATGTTCGGCCAACATTTTGGGACCAGTTTCCAGTAACATGATTTTAAAAGTATTCAAGGCATCACCATCCAAGGGGTTGTTTTCGCACGAAGGCAAAAGAAGAGTGCTGAAATTCTCCACATCAAATTTGGAGGTCTGGAAGTAAGAAAGTAAACAAGAAATATAATAAACTTTAATATTCATTTAGTAAGGACTATTTACCCCTTTAAAAGAAGGTATTTCTAGAGTAAATAGCTGATCCTCTGCTGCCTCTACATCAAATTCACTCAAACTTTTCAACGTAACCGATGACACCGATGTGGTCATAAAGCGAGGATTTTTTATAATCACACCACGATGCATTATGAATTCATTCATATCTCCCGGCATTGAATCGCCCGAACCATTACCAGAATCGGAGCCACTCAATTGATATATACCAGCCATTCCACCCTGTCTCTGCAAAGGATATTGCTGTTCTAAACCCGATGGCTCCTTGTTAGGGCGAGACAAACTGCCAGTTTGGCCAGCATTACGATTTGGTTTTGGTGGTGGACTAGGTGGTTTTTCGGGTAATTCAGGGATTTTACTTATTTCCAAACTAGAAAACATACTAGCCGAAGAATCGGCATTAAAATCTCTAGCTAAACTGGAAGTACGATTAAGATTGTTGCGAAAATTATTGGTAGCTGGTCGTGGCAGTGAATGGGTGGTGAATTTTATATGATTATCCACCATATCGTTGGCTGTACAACGAGCTATAGTCTGAAAGCCATTGGTTGGTATTTTACCATGCATATTTAGATTTTCTAAATGAGAGTGCAATTGGGTTTCATTAGGAGAACCGCAAATGCTATTGCTCTTTTCGAATTGGCTAAAACGTCTAACATCAGGACGATAACCCTGACCATTGGCTTGGTTAAGCTGATTCATGGAACCGCTATTAACGATTGCATCCATGCCTGTACCACCTTGTATTACCCCATCAGCACTGTTGCCTGCTTCGGCATTTTTCATGTTAGACACCACAATTGCCTGAGCAGGAGTTAAACTTTGGGAACGTTGCTTCTTGGAAGGTAATCTTGGTGCGGTATTAAGTTTTCCTCGTGGTGGTGAAGACATGGGACTTTGTTGTTGCATTATCGGTTGTCCTATGGAGGTGGGCAAAGACTGCTGATGTTGTAGCATTCCATGCAATTGTTGCTGTTGACTGATGCCGGAACAGGTCATACCACCGAAACGAAATCCTGCATTTGCTGCTAAGGGTGAGTTAAGAGGACTTGGTCCTCTTAAACCTGCCAACATTTGGCTATGCAATTGATTTCCTACGATCTTGTGACCATAGAATGACAATGGGTAATTACGATTACAGGGATATTGTATAAGAGCTCCAGAAGCCAAAGAAATGGGTTTACCTAATAAACAAAATGGCGTTGAAAACTATATCTCAAATTTTTATAATCTATAAAAACCTTACCAGAACCCACATAAAAAGTTATAAGATCGGGAATGGCATCAAATGCATCCTCCTCAAACTGATATTGTATGCGTTCATACACGGTTTCGGGTTGTACCAAAATCTTAAAAGAAATAGAAAAATATATAATATACATATATATTAACAGATCCATAACTTGTCTTTCCCTCACCTTATTTATAACAAAATGCAATACCGCCCCATTGCTGCGACAAGTCAAAACATAATTATGCGGCTGAGATGTACAGTCTCTGATTAGAAAATCTCCCTCTCGCTGAACAATCTCTTCGGCACGTTGCCGTGGCAGAGGACCATGATACCAAGCATGTGAACGTAAATCACGTGAATCTAAACTAAGTTCCCATTCTAGGGCTTTCTTAAGTGCTAAAGCCTCCTGCTGTTCATTTGTTGGCGGTAATATTGAACCCATCAACGATGTGGGCTGATTGAAAGAACCCGAATTCATAGAATCATTATCCATAGTGATGTCTTCGATTTTCGTGTCAGAATCGTTCGAAGGATTATCGCTATTGTTGTCACGTGGTTTTAGTTCTTCATAGCTAAAAAAGTTTGGAAGGGAATAATTAATAACAAATTTAATGTTTAATAAAATATAATTTAATACTTATTCATCTAAAATAACTAATATAGAAAAAGTATTTTAATTGTAAATAGTGAGAGATCTTCTATATCAAAAATTACCGAATTCTTTATCCCTGTTAACCTATTAACTCTCTCAGTAATATGAAGTAATTTCACAGAGAATATATAAGACAGTTACAGTGTTTATTGAAGGGAAGCCCAAGTCCACTTACATGTCTGTCTAGCACCCAATGTTCTGTTATTACTGCTATCAACCTGATATATCCCGCCTGTTTCGGTTTAAAAGGTGTCTTTTACGTTTCTCATTGAAGGAGTGCCACAATAACTTGACCCCTTTACATGTGTCTAGGTTATCCCAGCCATTTTCAGTCTTTCAGGCAGTGATACATGCCATCGATACAGCCCCGAGAAGAATACGGGAACTGAATCTCGAAAAGTCGATTATACATAGATTCTAATATAATTACTGGACATTGTAGGATTGGACATATGACGGAACCTATGGGCCACCCACGTTATAGCTGCTGGACGAAGAAGAAGAGGAATCGGTACAACACCTTCTATGTGACTGCCCAGCCTTACAAAAGCACAGACTACTGTATTTTGGTACAGCTCTTTTCCATGATCTGGACTGTCTCTGAGATGCGTCAAATTGGTTTAATTAGAAATACCAATTGGTTTTCATGGAGACCACAAGAACCAAGTACTCAACGCAATTAGGGAGGGAAACCATTCTCTCAACATAAGGCAGTGACAATTCTAAGGCTATCACAATGGGCCACAAGGCCTCCGAGTGAACACGCTAACTAGCGAGCAACCCACGTAACCTGACGAATATAATTTCTACAAAAGCCTGACAATGGCAAAAAAAGATCTCCAGAATTTTAAACAGTAAAATGTATAATACAAAAGTTAAAAGTTTTATGTATAAGTTCAAAACATAAAGATCGAATTCCTGGCGACAACGACTGGTGGCTTCGATCTAGCCAGCGAAAGATCTAAAAATCTGAAATCATTTATTTTCTTCGATAACAATTCGGTTTATTAATTTCGTAACATTTAGAAATATTGGTCTAAGCTATCAACCCACGAAAGTTATGAGACAATCGGCTCTTCTCATAACAGGTGTTCTTGTTTTCTATGCTAAACTGGCTTCCCGTGGATCTCCTTGCTAAACAACTGGCAATGGATACTGCAGCCAGATTAAATATTACTAATAGATGGAACTTTTGTTCCAGAGGTCATGCAAAGATTGTAGATCTTCTCCCAAATCTACACCATGCCATTGACTACTGTATTCCGGAACCGTGTATTACGAGAAACTTCCGGTATATTATAAGCTCTGGTTATAATGAACCTACACCTGTAAATGTTGATGGACTAAATGTGTATACGGATGGTTCTAACACAATGGCGAGACATTCAAGAATTACCCACGTTTGGGTCAAAGGACACGGGGATATAATTGGCAATATTACTGCTGATATCTTGGCGAAAGCTGATACGAGGATCTATCTGATCTCTCAAATGTTCAACCTGAACGTATTCCCGTATAAACGTAATCACACACTATGTTCTCTACTTCTCTATAGGCTCGTACCATCTTTATTCTTCACTCCTTCAATATTATCTTTACTGTCTCTGTCGCTATATTTTCCTTCCAAATCTTGTTTCATTTCAGACAATACAAAGGGACCATAGAGAAATTTATAAAACCCGGTCTAAGACGATCAAGCCATGTTCGTACGTCTGTCTGTTGACATACGAACTGAACTGACGAATGAAACATAGGTATAATTTCTTCTACCATCGAGGAATTTATAAAATCCGACCTAAGACGATCATGTCCGCTGAAATTTGGACAAGTATAGAATATCGGTCAACGATTTCACCTTGCCTTCACACAAGACTCCGACCAGAATACAGTTATAATAGTCATAACTGGTTTTGAAATAACCAAAATTGAAGTTAAGTACGACAAAAATAAGTTTTACAGAAAAAAAAAAAACGGTTATGAGAATCGGTCCATAATTGATCTTAACCCTCATATATGGTAACTTTTAGAAAATTACTTTAACACCCATTGTTGGCTTTAAAATGCCAGTAGCCAGAGATAATGCAACAAAAACAATTTTATATATCTATATCAAATATTTTCTAGGGTCGGTCCATAATTGACCATACCTCTCATACCTCTTAAAATAAACAGTTAATTATTAATAAATCATTGGAAATATTGAGTATTATGATAAAGGAGAACAAAAATTCAGAAGAAATTGGTCTATAATTGATCAAAATTCCTCACAATAGGAAAATAACTAAACAGTGGTGTTGTCAGTAAGAAAGCGAACTAAGGAACAAGAGGTCCAGATTAGTCGCTATATTAGGTTAGGTTACGTGGGTTGCTCGCTAGCAAGCGAGTTCACTCGGAGTCCTTGTGGCCCATTGTGATACCCTTAGAATTACAATTCCCTAATATTGAGAGAATGGTTACCCTCCCTAGTTTTGTTGACAACTTAGTTCGTTCGGTCTCCGTGTAGTATTGTCAGTAAGAAAGCGAACTAAGGAACAAGAGGTCCAAATTGGTATTCTGTCGCTATATTGGTATTTACACACTTTATGTAAGTACTTATTTACGTTGTTATTTGTAAGCGAGTGTTGTTAGTACTTGCCCCCAATGTCATCAGAGTTAAAATGCTAATTAAGAAATTGTGAAACGGCTTATCTGAGTATTATATTCCACGTTTTACCTATTTCTATAAATATTAAAGTCAGTCTATTATCTATTATACTATGTTTTCCACAACATACGTATATAAAAAACTTATCTCTAACTCTAACCATTTGGGTCAATTTTATTAAATAATAAACACTCCTTTCGTATTCTTAAAGTATCATAAAATAGAAGAACATAACCTAACTTTATTTTAAAGACCATAAAAAAGTTTTCCTTTTTTTTTTTTGTTTCTATACCACCCTCATAATTTAAGATTTTTTTTATGGCATTACATATAGGTTGGGAAAAAATTATAGTAGTTCCCCATACATATAAGTAAAATATGTAATGAAATAACATAAATTGTATTTTGAAATATATTTTTTCAAATATAACAATAATTTATTATAGTTAAAACTTCAATACTTAATAATCTTTTAATAATGTAACTTTTCCCTCAAAGTATTAGATAAAACTTACTATCATTTTACTATCCTTATGGCAGTTTATATATCCTTTTTAAGTTATTTGTTTAATTTTTCACAATTTTCTTTAAAGATTTCTTTATTTATAACTTTTTAATTTAAATTTTTCAAATCTTTTTTTTCAAATATTATTAAATAATTTATTTCTTTTCAATTTCACTAACGGCCCAGCCCAAGAAAATTTTTTCCTTGATACTTTGTCTATACTGTATATATAAGTAAGAGCCTTTCAAATACCGTTAACACTTTACATTCGTTTTTATCCTTTACACAGCGATTTCAACTCTCCAACGTGTATTTTCAATCTGTTTTCTTCTATGCCGTATGAGGATTTGCCGTAGTAAAAATGTAACAGTCTCTATATTTGGTGGTTCCTGAGTCTTTGCATATGGTAGAGTGTGTTTTGTTGTTGTATTTTTTTACTCCCCTAAAATACACGTTAAACCTTCTGGCATCTTTACACGGGAAGAAATTTTAGGGTGGATAATTTTATTAAGGTGATTAAGGTTAGTCTGTCAAAATTATGACAATTATATATAGTATTTTCCTTAATATAATCCAAAAGAACAATAATCATGTGCAATTAGGACAATTTTCGCAGATTTCGGAAAAGTAAACCTATCAGATTATTAAAGGATTTCACTAGATTTTATAAATGGGCTAGTGATTAGTAATTAATTTAAACTTTCCCTTTAGAATAGGATTTCTGATCCGGAACGACCTGATTAGCAATCGGCAACTGCTATATCATCTTGAAATCATTTTTAGGGAAGAGCTTCACAACAAGCTAATTTGGATCATTTGTGCATCTCTTACAAATCAAGGAAAAATGAAAAGATACAAAACTGAAACGTAACTGAGTGTTAAGGTACATTGTATAATTCCAAAATTTTGGTTTCAGATCCAAGAAATATTGTAGTAGATCAGAATCCCAACTTAGCCTACCATCGGCAAGATGGATAAATCTTCTGATAAAACCTTGTAGATTGAATGGGTAGCACCCTGCAAAACTTTTCTGTTTGTCATGGAATTTATTTTATGGAACCATTTTTTGGTCTTAGATTCTGTAGTCTAGCACAATGGCAAATTATGTACTCAATCGTTTCTAGATCCTCAATATCATATCAGAAGTTAGTTCCCATTTACTAACAAAAACAGCTTTAAAAGTCCTGCTAGAATCCTTAGATCGCATCTATTTAGTTCATTAAAAATCTGAGTTGATTTTATATGAAGTCGGGGCCATTAGTTCTTACATAATTTACAATTAATTTTATCGTTCCTGGACTGTGTGAAAACGTCCTAGAATCTCTTAGGGATCGTTTTAAAATAGCGACAAATGGGCATTTTTCCCTTTTGTCTCTTACATCTAGATCAAGAATCAAACATTGATCGTGCGCTACCTGATTGCGGTGCCCTGGTGCCCAACACAGCTTTATCGCTAAAAAAGTCTTATAATATTCGACGACTAAGCAAGAGTAAGTATCAATGTTCTGAGTGCATCTTGATTATCACAACAAACCCAAACAAACGCAAACAAGTTCAAACGCTTTCTATATCGCTAAAATCTCACCTTAGAAGATATTGAATTCTTTAAAGAGTCCGAAGTTAGCAATGTCCATGTTAGCAATACAGATTAAACCCAAAATCAATTGTAAATACGGTTTTTTGTATTTCGGTGTAAATAGGTTTTAAATTCTGCTGTTGGTTTCTGGACCGCAGGGTCCATTAAATAATGCTGTTAATATTAAGTTGCTTTTAAGATATTTGGTTCGCTGATGTACCTTTTAATTGTATTACAAAATAAATCGCCAGTAGTGAACAAACTCATCCATTAATCACACCTTTTTCCTAACATATCTGTGAAGGATACAAAAAATGCTCAACAGTCGAATAGGTTTATAGGTTTCGAAAGTCCCTATTTGGCAGATATTACAGGTCGACAAAATTAGAAAAATAGTAAAAACCCTGAGAGCAAATTAGACGTTTCTAAAAAATTAAGCAGTGCTAAATCCAAATATGATCTCAGGCCTCCTCACATTTGGGATTTGAGATATCGTGTTCTGAAATTTGAAAAAACACAATTTTTGGCCCTTTTTTGAGACGTTATAACAGCGACAAGATGTTGTATGCCATCTGAAAGTCTATTCTGTCGACTTTTCAAAAAAGGTTTAACATCTGACATATCTTCTTAATTGTTCCAGATATCTTTACCGAAATCTTCAAAATCCATGGTTTTCGGTATATACACTACTATAGTGCGGTGATTATTTATTATGCTTTGTTTATAACGAACATAAATATTGGAACCACACCTATCTAAGGATGTTCATATCGATTCCAAATCACTTTTTTATTCTACTTAACTATGACTATACGTCCGTCAACTTTAACGGATGATATCTCAGAAACTACATCAGATTTCTAAACAATTTAGAAAGTATTTTTATAGGAAAAGTTGTTAAGGGCCAAAAAATAGTATTTTTTCAAACTTCAGATTGCGATATCTCAAATCCTAGATGTAATGGAGAAATTCGGAGGTTGGATTCGGCTCAATCCTTTAGAAAAGTATACTTTGGTCACTGGTTTAAAAATTCGTCGGCCTGTTCAGTGATAACTCATTTCAAACCCAATTTATTCAAAGATACCAAATAGTCCGTGAATCTGACCTAATTCCATATGATAAGTGCCGCTTGAATTTTCTGAAACGTAACGAATTATCTTTAAGTACTAAGACATGCCGTTTATTCTTTCAGTCAACCCGGTAATAACTCAGCTTTAAAGAAATTTGATTAAATCTGTTATTGATATATAATTAAGGCATTATCGAGGAAGAGGGTTTTTACTAGTTGTCTGAGATTTTGCCTTTGTAAAGCATAATTCCCACGACAATATTTTGAGAAAATTTTGATCATATTCAAGTTTTTACTTATTATATCATATTCCGATAATTTCAACTTAATTTGAATATTATTCACTATTAATCTGATGACCCTGGGAAGTTGCTCAGTTACCCATTAAGCATGACTATAATATATATATTTCAGATTTAATATTAATGATATTTTCTTTAATAGGAAAAGTTCAGATCATTTCGGGAATTCTACATGGAACTGTAATAAACCGAGTTGCGTTTGTCGGCTAAATGTCAATCATATCCGATGCTGTGATCAGAATTTCGTTGCAGTTGATACCACGGTCATAGCGATAGCATAAAACAGGAAAAACTGAACATCTAAGCGTTTACGTAGATCGCTTGATCTGAAAAGTTTTGTCATTCTTTTTGTATCAAACCGAAATATTAGTTGTATATAACAACAAATTTACTTGTTTAGGAAATGTTACCTCAAATTTCTTTGCGTGTACACATACTTTTTTCATTGATGTGTGTTGTCATATTTGCAACCCTCTGTTTTGATTGCACTTTTGCCGGATAACAAAAAATCATTAAATAATTCATACAAATTAAAGAGAAAGAGAGAAGAAATTAACGATTGAGAGTTGTGTTGTTATTTAACAATTTTTTCCCACGCATGCGCAAATCTATTGTTATTATTTATTTCATTATTCTTATTATTGCTGGCAGTCATCAGCAGAAGAGGCCCTATTGATACCATCAACAATTTAAGAAATGGGGTGTGTTCAATGTCAGAACATCTGAAGTGTACGGGTACCAACCAACACAATTCTTTTAAAATTCTATACAAACTACTCAATGAAATGTCAAATGTAAAAGGAACGTTATTTTGAAATTTCGAAAATGTACACACAAGTGATGATTGTTAATGAAAATTGAAAAAGCATAATTGAAACATATACATCAGCTGTTTAATAGTCTCCATTGTTGTGTGTTACACTGTTTAATAAGAAGAACAAATGAAAAACACTTACATGGTATCGGTCTCATCGAATGTAAAACGTTTCTTATCCACTGGACTCTTGGCATTCGGTGTTAAAGTACCGCGCTGATAAGAATTTCGTTTTAATGATTGCTGTGTATCGAATAGACTAGTACATTCCGCCAGATACATGGGTGGGCATGAGTTTTTTCGTCTCTGTAGTGTTGGTGATATTTGTTTTGATACTAATTTTAATTAAGTCAATCATATGTGGCCATCAGTTAATTAAAATGATAAATAAAGAAAATTAGTTTAATTAAAAAGTATGAATTTTTCAAATAAATTAAAAATATAGTTTTAAACATACCATCATCTATATTCATGGAAATACGACGTTTTGCCTGTACTCTCACCAAACTTGATAGCATTTTAGAACGATGTTCTGGATCTCTTACACCCTTTAGTCTTAAGTCGGCATCATCTAAGTCCAAGATGTCTTCAACACAATTGTACATACTGAAATTGGCTAATGGAAATTTAATTTAACTTCCCGATCTACATATTTTTATACCCACCATCAAAAAAGATGGGGGATATATTGATTTTGTCATTCCGTTTGTTACACATCGAAATATTGGTCATAGACCCACAAAAGTATATATATTCTGGGTCCTTGTTAAATTCTAAGACGATCTACTTATGTCCGTTCGTCTGTCTGTCCGTTGAAAGCACCATCGAGTCCGAACGAGAAGAGTTAAGGAGCTGAAATTTTGCACAAATATTTTTTATTTATGCAGTATGTATCGGTTCATGTTTTTACATAGCCCCATACAAGTGGTCCCCCCGAAAAAACATTGTAAACAGTCATAGCTGGTTTAAAAGCCTTCATATGTCATTGAAATTTCACATAAACAAGTCTGATATGAACCAAAATCTCTCTACCAAATTTTATCAGGATTGGTCCATAATTGATCATACCCCCCATATAAGATCCCTCTAAGAAAACGACTATAATGCTCATAACTTGCTTCAAAATGATATCAAAGCAACAAAATTCGACATAAACAAGTTTTAGTGGAACTAAAATCTCTCTACCAAATTTTATGGAGATCGGCCCATGATTGATCCCACTACCCAAAAAAGGTTCTTTTCAGAAAATTACTTTAAAGTTCATAATTTGATTTAAAATTCTAATATATCAACGAAATTGAAACATGTTTTATAGATACTTCAGATATTAAGAGGATCGGTCGATAATTGATTCTACTCCCATATAAGATGGCCATGATAAAATGGCTTTAACGCCCATTACTATAACTTGCTTCAACATTAAAGAAATTCACTTGAAATTTAAGACACACGATTTGATGGTGGGTATAAAAGATTCGGAACTGCCAAATATAACAGTCTTACTTGTTTGTGTCACCTGAAAGTCCAATGTGTCAACTTTAAATTAAATGTTTTACTACTGTTATGTCTCCTTTCTTCTTCAAAATAGTTTTACCTAACTTTAGGTTTCGACAGATTACATTTTCAGGAGATATAACATAAAGACGAGTCCACGCTATTATAAGGTATCAAATATGACCTAAAACCGGATTTTTTTTTTAATATTTATATCGCCACATCTGCAAAACATGATATGATGGAGGAGTTTTGAGAACAGATTCGGATTAAGGGGTTTCTGGGTTTCGACTTTTTATTACCTTAATCAAATAATGTGGGTGGTATACTGTTTCTGTCATTTCGTTTGTAACACTTCGAAATATTACTCATAGGCCCACAAAAGTATATATATATATATATATATATATATATATATATATATATATATATATATATATATATATATATATATATATATATATATATATATATATATATATATATATATATATATATATATACTAGCTATACCCAGTGTGCTTTGCTACCCTAAAAGGAATATGTATAAATAAATACCAGATTTATTATATGTAACATATGAAAGATGTCAAGCAAATTATTGCAAGTTCGCCAGTTTCTATCTATCGCCAATTTCTATCTATCTATAAAAAATTTGAATAATATAAGAGTTTCCAAGATGCACGAAATTTTGTATTTAATTCATATATGTTGTGCCAAGCCACCCATTGAAAGTCCGCCCGTTATGCTCTAAATGTTCACATGAATTTCAAAGTTCTCCATGTAAAATTTGAAGATTCTAGCTCTAATAGTTTCTCAGATATACGAATTTTTCTATTTGATTCATGTGGGGGCTTCAAGACCCCCCAGATGAAAGACCGCTTTTTTCCTCCAAAATGTTCAAATGAATATTTAAGTTCTTCGTGCAAAATTTGAAGAATTTAGTTCCATTAGTTTTCCAGATAAACGAATTTTTGTCTTTAATTAATATAGGAGGTGCCGCTCCCCTCATGGGTAGTCCGCCAATTTATTACCCAAAATGTTTAGATGGAGGTTAAAGTTTTTCGTGCAAAATTTGAAGATTCTAACTGTAATAGTTTCCAAGATAAACGTATTTTTGTATTTAATTTATATGGGAGGTGCCACGTGCAAAGTTTTAAGAATTTAGTTCTATTAGTTTCCCAGATCAACGAATTTTTCTTTTTAATTAATACGGGAGGTGCCGCTCCCCTCATGGGTAGTCCGCCAATTTATTACCCAAAATGTTTACATGGATGTTAAAGTTCTTCGTGCAAAGTTTTAAGAATTTAGTTCTATTAGTGTCCCAGATCAACGAATTTTTGTTTTTAATTAATATGGGAGGTGCCGCTCCCCTCATGGGTAGTCCGCCAATTTATTACCCAAAATGTTTACATGGATGTTAAAGTTTTTCGTGCTAAATTTTAAGAATTTAGTTCTATTAGTTTCCCAGATAAACGAATTTTTGTGTCTAATTTATATGGGAGGTGCCACGCCCCCTAATGCTAGTCCGCCTACTTTTTGTCCTAAATGATCATATTGACACTAAAGTGGCTCCGAAAAAATTTGAGGACTCTAACTGTTATATTATCTCAAATATACGGATTTTATATTTTCTTAATGTGGGCGTGGCTCATCGCCCACTTCAATTTTCGAAATAAAAAGTAGCCTATTACCTATTCCAGACATGCCGGAATACGTTCAGCCGTTTAGTAGTCTATAACGTTCAAACATACAAACATACAAACAAACACACATTCATTTTTATATATATATATATATATATATATATATATATATATATATATATATATATATATATATATATATATATATATATATATATGGGTCCTTATTCTAAGACGATCTAGCCATGTCTGTCCGTCCGTCTGTTGAAAGCACTAATGGAAAGAGTTAGTGATAGAACAAATATTCTCTACAGATAAAGTTCGTTTGTTATTGAAAATGGACAATAATTTGTCAGGTTCATGCATAGCCCCCATACAAGTGGCCCCTGAAAAACATTTTTAGCAGTCATAAACATAAAAGTAAAGCGATAAAATTAGACATAAATAAGTTTCATATGATGCAAAATCTCTGTATCAAATTTTGTGAGAATCGGTCCATAACAAACTCTATACCGCCCCCCATATAAGGTCCCATTTAAGGCGATGAAATAACTTATAAACAACTTATGTATGATCCACTTCAGAATATTACTTAAACGCTTCAGAATATTACTGGCTTTAAAATATGAGTAGTGCGATGAGATTCAATATAAACAAGTTTGATAGGAACTTATTATTCATTCCAAATTAAATGCAGATTGGACTATAACTGACCCTTGCCCCCATATAAGGTCCTCTTCAGGAAAGGATTTTCCTTATTTAAAATACGAGTGATAAAATGCAACACAAATAAGTTTTATACAAAACAAAATCTATTTAGACAATTTTATAAGTATCGATCCATAATTGTCCCTACCCCAATATGCGGTTCCCTTTAGAAAATTACTTTTACGCTCAAGACTAAATGAAATATACGAGTTCAGTATGCTATAAATAATTGACCCTATCACCTATATAAAAATAACGTTTATATGAACTTATTCGATCTATCAGATCTTTTGATAGAGGAACCCTAGTTTCAAATTTAAGGGGATTCATGAAATTATCAAAAATATAATAATTTATAAATTATCCAAATTTATTATATGGAACTCATTCTTAAATCATATCTTGTACTAATATCGGTATTATAAATTTACATATAACATCAGTTATCGTTTATATGTAAACTATTTATAAATTGTCCATAACTATTATATAGAACTAATTCACAAATTATATCAACGATCTTGTGCCTATATCGGTGTTATAAAATTCTATTTAAAAAGTCCTCATTCCGAAATTCTTGCTATCTTAAAATAACAAAAACTTTTCATCATCACCTACATTCATATTGTTGCAAATCCAAAAATTCCAGCCATTCTTTAATCGAAATTTTCGAATTGAACACCATCATAGTGTTGGCATCTTTGCGACGCATTGTGGAATAACGAAAATTCCAATAAATACTACCGCGACGATGAGCCATGCCCTTGGCATCCATATGTCTGGTCTGAACATTGCCCATTTTGTTTTTTTATCACAAGAATTTTTTTATTTTCTTGATTTTTTTTTTTTGAACACTTCACTTTAAATCACTGCAATTTTTCTACTATAACTATATGTAGTTTTTGAGTTCATATGTAAAATTTTACTTTCACAATTAATTAATAATCATTTTTTCTCGTACTCTAATTAAATAAGTATGGATGGGTTGGGAATTTGCTGACAACTAAAACCCATTGTCAATGTCGCATTATGCAAAACCAATTTTTCTTTATATTCACTCGTTTGTACTAGATTTGTGTTTATTAATTTCTTTTTCACATACATACATCCATACATGTTTATATAAATAATTGTGATATTAATTTTCAGTATTAACCCATTGTGCGGAGAAAAATTATACATTTCATCATCGGATTATATTTATAAGTATAATCGTAAATGCTTGATTAGTAAAATAATATTATTACAACAATGAATTATTCTTGATACTCACTTCGGTCTAGATAACTCACATTCAGCCAAATGCTTTTGAACGATCAATTAAATCGGTTTTAGATGTCCACTGATACTTTGTCTCCTTTCTCCATATAAACATATGGCCAAACACTCCCAAGTTTCCATCCATTTGGGTCATTTTCCTTTTCTTATAATTTGTCATTTACCAAGGGAATTACTCCCTTTTTTATGGGTTAATTTATTTGCTTCGTCTTATAAATTCAACAACGAAAGTGTAACATAATAATATCTATAGATATAAATATATATTTGTGTGTAACCGTCAGTTTAAACATTTGTATGTAGATTAGAATTTAATAAAAAAAGGTTTTATTCTTATTCATTGGCGCTGTTGTGTTAATATAAAAATTTGTTTTACAATTCCACAATTAATATTGAATTTCGCTGACCACAGCGGTATTTCCTTAATTAACTAAAGTGTCTTGTATCTCTAAACAATAGCAGGGACGGATTGAAGTGATTGCTTTATTCTATGATTTTTATTCAAGGGCCTTAGACTATAGTTTAGCCTATAGACTAGACTATAGAGTAGACTATAAAGTAGGCTATAGACTAGACTATAGACTAGATTATAGACTAGACTATAGACTAGACTACAGACTAGACTATAGACTAGACTATAGACTAGACTATATACTTGAATATATACTAGAATATATACTAGACTATATACTAGACTATAGACAAGACTAGACTAGACTATAGACTATAGACTATAGACTATAGACTATAGACTATAGACTAGACTAGACTAGACTAGACTAGACTATAGACTAGACTATAGACTAGACTATAGACTAGACTAAAGACTAGACTAAAGACTAGACCATAGACTAGACTATAGACTAGACTATAGACTAGACTATAGACTAGACTATAGACTAGACTATAGACTAGACTATAGACTAGACTATAGACTAGACTATAGACTAGACTATAGACTAGACTATAGACTAGACTATAGACTAGACTATAGACTAGACTATAGACTAGACTATAGACTAGACTATAGACTAGACTATAGACTAGACTATAGACTAGACTATAGACTAGACTATAGACTAGACTATAGACTAGACTATAGACTAGACTATAGACTAGACTATAGACTAGACTATAGACTAGACTATAGACTAGACTATAGACTAGACTATAGACTAGACTATAGACTAGACTATAGACTAGACTATAGACTAGACTATAGACTAGACTATAGACTAGACTATAGACTAGACTATAGGCTAGACTATAGACTAGACTATAGACTAGACTATAGACTAGACTATAGACTAGACTATAGACTAGACTATAGACTAGACTATAGACTAGACTATAGACTAGACTATAGTTTTCATGTAAAAATTATTTCAACCGGCAGAATATCTACCAATTAAACGATGGGATATACATGAATGCAATCAAAATCTGTCATCGAAATATTTAAGTAAAAAAACCTTATGGTTTTTTATATACATATTTGCATTAATATTCTATATATTTTCAAATATTATCACACACGATAATACATATTTGTGGTAAATTGTAATTCTGATAAGAAAGTTTTTAAGAAAAAACAATTAATTTTTTGAATAAATAACGTACACATTGAAGTTAGTGTGTGAATTACACGCGAGGTGGCCCTTAAAAGTAAACTCTAAGGTTGCTACTGGATAACAGATGGCGCTATCACAACCGTTAGTTTAAAATACTATATACATATCAGTAAGAGTGTTTGATAACAAATTTATTATTTCGAGTGTAATTGTTAAAATAGTTCGTATGTTTCAAAACATACATATATTATTTTTATACTTATGGATTGACTTTGTTATGTCTTTGATATATTCCGAATGCATTTTAATTCTTGACTGTTATTTCTTTTCAGTAGAATCATAAATGTATTTCTGTATTGCTCTCCTACCCTTTATTAATAATAATTTTTGATGTAGCACCAATAACAATGGTACAACAATAATTGTAGTCTATGTTTGTGTGAACAATGTCAAAAGGTTCCAATAAAAATTTCAGCTTAATGCAATATTTTGTTCCTTATTTTCTTTTCAGCATTGTACATCATTTTAATTCTTTCCGTCATAATTTTATTGAATAATATGAATGCATACTGGTAAATACAATAGGGTCAATGGAATAGAGTTAGTTAGTTAGTTAGTTTGTTTGTTTGTTTGTTTGTTTGTTTGTTTGTTTGTTTGTTTGTTTGTTTGTTAATTTGTTAGTTTTTATTTGTTTATTTCTCTAACAATTACAATTATGCATCACGATTGCGCAACCTTAATAAACCAATATTTCTTTCCCGCTTTCTTTTCAAATGTTTCTATTGATTTTTGTGCAATAAAAAACAACAAAACGACAAAGAATATCAACATTTGTAAACGAGTATCATTTGGAAGAAAATGCGTAATAATCTTCTGAAGAAGTGCAATCTCAAAAAAATTAATAAGAAACCACCCAGATACTTTGAAGTCTTCACAGCAGGAAGATATTTATTTGAGTTTTTCTTTGTTTTCTGATTTTGAAAATATTTGAATTGTTGTTGCTCGTCGAAAAACAATAACCAACTGGCATTTCGGGATCCGATTGAATCTTTTTATAATTCTGTTGTTTATCAATGTGGCTAGAGATGATCTGTATCAATAATTTTGTATTGTATCCATGTTTATTGTTTAATAAGGCCAAGTATTTTCCTATATAAAAATATTTCAGATTCTATATTAGCTGCAAATGTGTGCATGTGGTTGCATTTGAAAATTTTTTTATAAAGATGAAACAAATTTATATTCTTAAATATAATTAAGTGCTTTGAAAATCTTTATCGACTGATGAAGACAATTTGCATAATGTTTTGCGAAAATATAGCCACTAGAATATGTAGATGTACTTTAGACAATAGACTAGACTAAAGACTGGACAATAGACTAGACTATAGACTAGATTAAAGATTAGACTAAAGACTGGACATTATGCTAGACTATAGACTAGATTAAAGATTAGACAATAGACTAGACTATAGACTATACTATAGACTAGACTATAGACTAAACTATAGACTAGACTATAGACTAAACTATAGACTAGACTATATACTAGACTACAGACTAGACTATATACTAGACTATAGACTAGACTATAGACTAAACTATAGACTAGACTATAGACTAGACTATAGACTAGACTATAGACTAGACTGTAGACTAGACTATAGACTAGACTATAGACTAGACTTTAGACTAGATTATAGACTAGGCTATTGACTAGACTATAGACTAGACTAAACCGTAGACTAGACTATAGACTAGACTATAGACTAGACTATAGACTAGACTATAGATTAAACTATAGACTAGACTAGACTGGACAATAGACTAGACTATAGACAAGACTCTAGACTAGACTATAGACTAGACTATAGACTAGACTATAGACTAGACTATAGAATAGTCTATAGACTAGACTATAGAATAGTCTATAGACTAGTCTATAGACTAGATTATTGCTTGGACTATAGACTAGACTATAGACTAGACCATAGACTAGACTTTAGACTAGACTATAGACTAGACTATAGACTAGACTATAGACTAGACTATAGACTAGACTATAGACTAGACTATAGACTAGAATATAGACTAGTCTATAGACTAGACTATAGACTAGTCTATAGACTAGACTATAGACTAGACTATAGACTAGACTATAGGCTAGACTATAGACTAGACTACAGACTAGACTACAGACTAGACTATAGACTAGACTATAGACTGAACTATAGATTAGGCTATAGACTAGACTAGACTAGACTATAGACTAGACTATAGACTAGACTATAGACTAGACTATAGACTAGACTATAGACTAGACTATAGACTAGACTATAGACTAGACTATAGACTAGACTATAGACTAGACTATAGACTAGACTATAGACTAGACTATAGACTAGACTATAGACTAGACTATAGACTAGACTATAGACTAGACTATAGACTAGACTATAGACTAGACTATAGACTAGACTATAGACTAGATTAGTCTAGACTATAGAATAGACTATAGACTAGAGCAGGGGTCGGCAAACTACGGCTCGCGAGCCAAATGCGGCTCTTTGGATGTGGAGCTATGGATCTTTAGTTTCATACACATATTTTATTTATTTTGTAAAAAAAATATTTATATATTTTAAAATCTTTCCGAATCGATTAACGAGCAGTGTATTAAAGCTAACAAAAAAATTCGCAAACGTTTCAACCATATACATAACTTTTTAACTTTGCTTAATCGAAACAATGAGCGAAACAAAAACATATACTTTTTGAGTAAAAAAGAAATAAAACAACACAATTAGTTATTCGCTCATTTCCTTCTATTTGCCCTTACAATCTCACATTTGAGAGTAAATCCTCATTGAGCCATTTGGAATTTGTATTAGATCTCTAGAAACGCAAAGTTTAAAAGCAAGTTGGAAGAGTTAGGTAAAAAGTCAACTAACAAATAAAAATTTAGAGTCATTTTTGAAACTTTAAACAACAAGTTATGATCCAAACTTTCTAAAGCCATACAAACCTATCACTCCCACTGAATTTGTTTCATGTACAAGTTAATATTGTAAGAAAATGTTGGATTCTTTAAAGTGTTAATTGAAATCAAATGGGGTATCATATCCTACGAAGTGCCATTAAAT